TGTTCTTACTGTGTTTTATCAGATGTTCTTACTGTGTTTTATCAGATATTCTTACTGTTTTTTATCAGATGTTCTTACCGTTTTTTATCAGATGTTCTTACCGTTTTTATCAGATGTTCTTACCGTTTTTATCAGCTGTTCTTACTGTTTTTATCAAATGATCTTACTGTTTTTATCAAAGGTTCTTACTGTTTTTATCAAATATTCTTACTAATTTTATCAGCTGTTCTTATTGTTTTTATCAGCTGTTCTTACCATTTTCATCAAAGGTTCTTACTGTTTTTATCAAATGATCTTACCGTTTTTATCAAAGGTTCTTACTGTTTTTATCAAATATTCTTACTAATTTTATCAGCTGTTCTTATTGTTTTTATTAGCTGTTCTTCTTGTTTTTATCAGCTGTTCTTATTGTTTTTATCAGCTGTTCTTACCATTTTCATCAAAGGTTCTTACTGTTTTTATCAGCTGTTCTTGGTAATTTTTATCAGCTGTTCTTACAGTTTTTATTAGCTGCTGTTCTTGTTTTTATCAGCTGTTCTTCTTGTTTTTATCAGCTGCTCTTATTGTTTTTTATCAGCTGTTCTTCTTGTTTTTCTTGCTGTTCTTACTGTCTTTTATCAATTTTTCTTGTTTTTATCAGCTGTTCTTACTGTTTTTTTTATCAGATGTTCTTAATGTTTTTGTTTTAAGCCTGTATTCTATATTTCTGTAAAGCACTTTGTGATTTTATCTGTTTTATCAATAAAGTTGACTTACTTACTTAAAAACCAGCTCCACTCAGAACTAAAACACAGATCAGTATTAAATCTCTGCAAGCTGTAAATTCGGACATGTAAAGGTGTCGAAGAATATGAGCAACAAATTCCTGAAATGTTCAGCATGGTCCTGACAATGATCCTCATCACTTCCCTTTCTGATACCGTGTTGTTTTGAACAAACAACTGCACGTGCTGTTTACCTGCAAGTCTCTCTGCAACTTGAATGAAGGAGCTAAGAAACGCCATGGACACGGCGTCCCCTGGTGGAGGACAAACAGTCAGCTGGTTCTTTTTATTGACCAAGCACGATGAGCAAAGGGAGCTGGTCCTCTTACATTTGAGGTAGAAGAACGCCACCGTGAGGCTGCTTTGTGCAACTTCAACGTGGAAGTTGTCAGAGGTTAGCTGAGCGATGGAGTCCGTGTCCGGCTGATTGTTTCGATTTTCAAAAACAGCCGCCGCAATTTCATCATCCAGCCTCTCTGGAAACAGATTCACATACAAATACACAAATCAACACCCCGATTACTCTGTTTTCACCTCTCTGTTTATTCCTCTGCATACCGAAACGTAAACCCTCCTCATTCTCCTCTTCATCCTCCTCCTGTTCTTCCTCTTCTTTATCTGTGAGGAGCTCCAACACACCATCGAGGCTGTGTAAGGTCAAGTACTTCACCTCAGAGCTCTACACACACACACACACACACACACAAGTAAAGAAAATAATCCTGTTGAATGTGACAGGTAATGAACATGGTACCTTGGCAGGCAGCCGGTAGGCAGCGTTGTACTCATCCGGGCTTTTAACCGCAGGACTCTCTCTGGAAAACAGACAAGCAGGAGACAGTTTTCAGTCTTGGCAAAAAAAAATTAAAAAAACGTTTATATTTACTTTTTGTTACAACTCATGCGCATTTATCTTCCACACACGCGCTCAACTTCTGCTTTTTTCCTTCACTTAAGCTGACTGAAGTATGGCAGGCAGTTTTAATATATAACAAACCACTATTTTATGATTGTCTATTGTTGCCATCACTCTTTAAGAAATCAGGTCTACTGTAAACGAGTCCTCGAGGCTCAGTGGGATTAACCCGTCTAAATAAAGGTTGAACTAATGAATAAACACATCATATGGCAGTTCGTATTAATATATATGTATAACCAAACCATACATGGTATGGCAGGTAGTTTTATTATATAACCAAATCACACAGTGTATGGCTTGTGTTTTTAATAAATATTTAAATCCCACACTGTATGGCAGGCCGTTTTATTACATAAGCAAATCATGCTGCATATGGCATTTGGTTTTAATATACAGGTATACTAAATCACATGGTGTATGGATGGCATTTTTATTATATAATCAAATCCCAGTGTATGGCAGGTGGTTTTAATATATAACCAAATTAACCAACCATGCATTTTAGCTTATATTACTACCTTGAAATACTTATTCATACGAATTCATCCTGCTTGCACTGCTATATTCTACCATGTTGTTGTTTACTCTCTCTGTTTAGGACCTTGTAAATATTATAATTACTTTTTCCACTTTTTGGTATTTATTTTGTACCCTTATTGTACGCTTTATTATTTCTTGTTTGTTTGTTTTGTTTTTAACGAGTCAAATCAATTCTTCTCATTCTGAACATTTCATTGTACAAACCAGATTCCAAAATGTTGGGACCAGTCCATTTTTACCACTGTGTGGCATCCCCCCTTCTTCTTCCAACACTCAACAGACGTCTGGGGACAGAGGAGACCAGTTTCTCAAGTATAGAAATAGGAATGCTCTCCCATTCATGTCTAATACAGGCCTCTAACTGTTCAATCGTCTTGGGCCTTCTTTGTCGCACCTTCCTCTTTATGACGCGCCAAATGTTCTCTATAGGTGAAAGATCTGGACTGCAGGCTGGCCATTTCAGTACCCGGATCCTTCTCCTACGTAGCCATGATGTTGTGATTGCTGCAGAATGTGGTCTGGCATTATCGTGTTGAAAAATGCAGGGTCTTCCCTGAAAGAGATGACGTCTAGATGGGAGCATATGTTGTTCTAGAACCTGAACATAGTTCTCTGAATTAATGGTGCCTTTCCAGACATGCAAGCTGCCCATGCCACAAGCGCTCATGCAACCCCATACCATCAGTGATGCAGGCTTCTGAACGGAGCGTTGATAACAACTTGGGCTATCCTTGTCCTCTCTGGTCTGGATGACATGGCGTCCCAGTGTTCCATAAAGAACTTCAAATCATGACTCATCTGACACAGAACAGTCTTCCATTTTGTCACACTCCATTTTAAATGACCCCTGCCCCAGTGCAAACGTCTGAGCTTGTGGAGCTCGCTTAGAAATGGCTTCCTCTTTGCACTGTAGAGTTTCAGCTGGCAACGGTGGATGGCACGGTGGATTGTGTTCACTGACAATGCTTTCTGGAAGTATTCCTGAGCCCATTCTGTTATTTCCTTGACAGTGGCATTCCTGTTTGAGGTGCAGTGACGTTTAAGGGCCCGGAGATCACGAGCATCCAGTAGAGTTTTACGGCCTTGACCCTTACGCACAGCGATTGTTCCAGATTCTCTGAATCTTTTGATGATGATAACTTAAAAGTCTTTGCTATTTTACGCTGGGTAACACCATTCTGGTATTGCTGCACTATCTTTCTGCGCAACAATGGTGGAATTGGTGATCCTCTTACCATCTTGGCTTCTGAGAGACACTGACACTCTGAGAAGCTCTTTTTATACCCAATCATGTTGTCAATTGACCTAATTAGTGTTAATTGGTCTTCCAGCTGTTCGTTATATGCTCAATTTCCTTTTTCCAGCCACTTATTGCTACTTGTCCCAACTTTTTTGGAATTTATTGACACTGTGAAATTTTGAATCAACATAATTTTTCCTTTAAAATGTTACATTTACTCAGATAAACTTTTGATCTGTCATCTATGTTATATTACGAATAAAATATTGACACTTGCCATCTCCACATCATTGCATTCAGTTTTTATTCACAATTTGTTTAGTGTCCCAACTTTTTTGGAATCCGGTTTGTAATCACACGGTGAATTTCAGGCAGTTTTATTAAGTAATAAAATCGCACAGCGTAAGTCATTTGGTTTAAATATATACCAAATCAAACTGCGTACGGCAGGTGATTTAAATGTATACCAAATTATGTAGCATATGGCAGTTGTTTTTATTGTGGATTTTTTTTCACTTCACTTCTGACTCGTAAGAATGTCGAAGCTAAAAGGAGGAAAAGCATTGTTGATATCTTAAAAAGTATTTAAGAGAAATGTGATTACATAAAGAAACTGCCTGCCATACATTGTGTGATTTGGTTATATAATAAAACTGCCTGCCATAGAACATGTGACTTGGTTATATAATATAACTGCCTGCCATACTCTGCGTGTGACTTGTTTATATAATAAAACTGCTTGCCATATACTAATGATTTGGTTATATAATAGAACTGCTTGCAACACATGTGATTTGGTTATATAATGCAACCGCCTGCCATACACAACATGATTTGGTTATATAATAGAACTGCTTGCCATACAACGTGTGATTTGGTTATATAGTAGAACCGCCTGCCATACACTGCATGACTTGGTTACATAATAATAATAATAATAATAATAATAATAATGTCATTACAATGTCAGCACTGTATGTTTCCATACAATGGCGAAATTAGTCTCTGCATTTAACCCATCCACCACCAGGTGGTGCAGTGGGCAGCTATTGAAAGCGCCCAGGGGGCATTTTGGGGATGAGACGTGCTGCCCAGAGACGCCACGTAATAAAACTGCTTCCCATATTGCATGGGATTTGGTTATATAATAAAATCTTTTGCCATACAATGTGTGATTTGGTATACCGTATATTAAAACCAACTGCCATACACTATGTGATATTAACAATAACAATAGTATTAGTAGTATAATTGAAATCAATATTTATACTTCTAACTGTAGGGTGCTTGTGAAAACGATGAAGTCAAAATATCTAAAAATCCTCTAAAAGCTTGAAGTGGATTTTCCACCAGTCAGACTGAACAAGTTCACGTACCTGTGCACGAGCAGCAGCACAGCGAGACCACGCAGCCTCCAGGCCAGCTCAGAGGCCACGTTCCGGTCCAGGTGCTCCGTCGCAGGGTGGGAAAACAAGAATACCTGGGGGGTCAGCTGGTAGGGGGACTGCGGGGGCGGGACCGAGGAGGGGTCGACGTATACGTCAGACTGACAGAGACACAAGGAGCACAAACATGTATGAATAAATTATATGAACTGATGACTTCCTAATGGGATCTGAAAAACTATACAAACTCTTTAGCGCAACCCTCCAGCTGCCTTTGGGTCAAAATGGCTCCTGAGGCTTTAGCTTAGGGCAGCAGGAGGGTAAAATATGTTCTGATGTTCAGGAAACGATGAAAGCTTTCTGATTTGGTTAGACGTGCATCCTGTTTACCACCAGCGGCGCCTCCATGAGCTGCAGGAAGGCGTGGAGGTTCAGGGTAGACAGGGTCGTCCTCATGCGCGTCGAGGGGCAGCGCTCAGAGGTCACCGGGGTCATGTGACCCCTACAGTGAAGGAACCACACTCCAGACAACAGAGACGACTCGTTGGCTCTGAAAAAAGAAGACGCCGAGGCTTTTATTTGATCAATAAAATCTAATCAAACACCGAAGGGAACACTCACTCCAGCTGCTTCAGAACCGGACCGCCGGTTATAAGAACAAACTGGTATTTGGAGCCGTACACGTACGCCATCTCCATCAAAGATCTGTGATCTGAATTCACAGAAAACAGAAAAAAAAAGCTTTTTTTTAAGATTATAATTACACCAATTCAGTAAATCCATCAAACATTAGCAGCACTCGTATGGCAAAATAATATTAAAGAGTTATATAATCCGTCTTTAATACTGTGAACGTCTCTGAATCATTCACTCCGTTGTGATCCGTTTGTCTTCTCGTTCCACAATTTTTGTGCCGTTTCAACAAATCATAAAACGTTCGGCTCTTTCTGGACAATCCTGCTGCGACTTTTGGAATTGGTGCAATTTTAGCTTTTTGAAATATTTAGCCTTTTCTGACACTTTTGAATTGAGCTCATTTTCCTTCCATCACATCTTTAGATACAACCTTTTACTGCTCCTTTCACATTCTGTTCTGCTTCAGCTGCTTTGTGCCAATTTAAACTTTTTTTCAGCTACTTTCAGCTGTTGTTGTTTCATTTGTTTTGTGCTCCTTTCAGATTATTTTTGCTAACTCTATTTTTCTTCTAACTTCTTTCTGCTAATTTCAGCTCGTCTCTGCAAGTTTCAGCATTTCTACCATTTCAGCTACTTTTTAGCTGTTTTTGTGCTAATTTTAGCTTATCAACTAATCCCACATTTTTTTGCACTCATTTCCACTTTCTTCAGCCTAATTCAGCAAAAAATGTGTTCTCTCCACTTCCTTCTGCTGATTTAAGCTTCTTTTTGCTTGTTAAGCTACCGTAATTTTCGCTGTATAAGTCACAGTTTTTGCATAAATTAGCATGCCCTGCAACTTATACACTGAAGCGACGTATTTGTTTTTCCCAAAATTTATAACCAATAGATGCGACTTATACGGCGAAGCAACTTATTTATGTTTTTTTCCACTTCATTAGACATATTTGGACTGATGCAATTTATACGGCAGGGCGAAGCGTACGGCACAAAGTACGGTACGTTAAGTGTATTTTTTGCTAATTTCAGCCTTTTTAAGGTAATGTCCACCTCATTTCTGTGTCTTTCAGCCTAATTCGGGCAAAAATGTGCTCTCTCTACTTATTTATGCTAATTTAAGCTTGTTCTACATTTTCAGCAAAGTTTTTAGCTTTTTTTTTTTTTAAGCTAATTTCAGCTGTTTTCAAATAAATGTGTTTTTTTGTGGTAATTTCTGCTACTTTCAGTCTTAAAAACTTATTTATGCTAATTTCAGCTTGTTAAGCTCCTTTCAACTTATTTCTACTAATTTCAGCGTTTTCTGCTATTTCAGCTACTATTTAGCTGTTTTGTGCTAAATTTAGCTTTTCCAGCTAATTCTAAGTTTTTTTTTGTTTTGTTTTTTTACTTATTTCAACTCCTTCCACTGTCTTCTGGTAGTTTAAGCTTCTTTCTCCCTTTTCAGCTACTTTTTAGCTTTTTTTTTGTTGATGCTAATTTCAGCTTTTCTAGCTAATTTCCTAACTTTTTTTGCAACTATTTGCTTATTTAAACATAAGAAAGCAAATATGTATTCCTGCTTTCTTATGCTAACTTAGGCTTGTTCTTCCATTTCAGCTACATTTCAGCATATTTTTAGCTAATTTCAGCTGTTTTTCAGCAAGTTCTTCAGCAATAAGTATTCGCGCTGCATTTTCACAGGAAATGCTATTCTCTAGTTGAGATCCACTTTTCTTCCGTACATTTTTCGGCATGCAACTCGTTCTGCAATTTTTCTGCTATTTCAACAGTTCATATGTCAAAACGTTCGGCTCGTTCGGGACGTTCCTGCTGTGGCTTTTGGTATGTGTGCATTTGTTACTTTTTGAAATATTTAGCTTTATCAGCCATGTTTTTCCATTGAAAATGAATGGAGCTCTCTTCACATCCTTCAAATCGTTTGTGCTGTTTACAATCTTTTACGGCTCATTTCAGCTTTTGTTCTAGTTCAGCTTATTGCTGCTAAATTCAGCTTTTTGGGGGGTTTTCAGCTACTTTATACATGTTTTTCTGATCAGTTTTAGCTTTTTCCTGTTTATTGGTGGGATTTCCACATTTTGTGATTCTTTTGAATAATTTCAACTTTGTATGTTTTTTCCAGCCTCTTTTTGCTAATTTCATCATTTTCTTCAGCTTTTTTGGTTCGATTTGATCCAATTATTGCTGTTTCTGCTCAGTGTAGATTTTATGCTGAATTACAATTATTTTTGCACCTATTTTTCCGCTTTTTGCACTTCTTGCTGATTAATTTTTCCAATTTTCAGCTACTGACGTCTTTCAATTAAGCTTCAGCTTTTTAAGCAGTTTTCATCTAAATCATTCAGCGCTGTATTTTCTCAGGAAAAGCATTATCTAGTTTTTCTAATATCATTCTAGGTGTGCGCTCACCAGAGTTGTTTTCAGGACTAAAGGTATTTTTATCCCTGTCTGTTCAGACTGTAGGAACCCGTAGAAAATGAGGTAATTTATAATTTTCTCTGATGTGGGCGGGGCTCTTCTCTGCTCCAACACACCTGATTTAAATCAGTGGGTGATTAACAGGCTCCTACAGAACATGAAGAGGTAATCCAACCATTGAATCAGGTGTGTTGGAGCAAAGAAACTAACAAAACATGCAGGACAGAGGTCCTCCAGGACCAGGATTTGACCCTTTGGTCAAAAAGGTACCTTTAGAACACCTTCCGTCACTTTCACTTTCCCTCTGTATCTTATTTTGTACCCTCACCTCGAGTTCCCAGACTGTGGACATAACCGAGGACAATGTCCTTCTTCCCTTTAGCTGACCTCTCCATGGCCAGAAGGTCAGCGTCTGTGTGGACGTATTTTACCTCGTCGCGCAGAATGGCACTGGAGGACAAAGAGACCAATGAAAAATGACAAAAATGCATCAAACTACAGTCACGAAATGAAAACGGACCTTTTTTTTATTTTTATTTTTTCTATATTATTATGTTCTTGTTGGGTTAAAGTTTGCAAGTGGAACCACAAGACTTCTGAAACTGGCGAGACCAAAGTGGAGTTGTTTGGCTGAAATGCAGAGGAGGATGTTATCAGCGCAAACACCTCCTACCAGCTGTCAGCACGGAGGTGGAGGGCTGATGGTTTGGGTTCCTTGCAGTCACTGAGTAGAACACGAGGTCCTCTGTACACCACAGGGTTCTAGAGTCAAATGTGAGGCCATCTTGACAGCTGAAGCTCGACCCAAACTTGGTAGTGATACAACAAAAAAAGATCCCAAACAGCAGCTAATCTACAAAACAGCTAAAAGTGGAAAGACTTAACGGTCCAGTCGAAGTTCAGAGCTCGACTCGATGGAAACACTACGGTAGGACTTTCATGGAGCTGCAAACCTCAATGAACTGAAGCAACATTGTAAAAAAAGAGAGGGTCAAAATTCCTCCACAACCACGTGAGAGACTAAGTCCTACAGAAGATAACTAGCGAGCTGCTGCTGTAAAAGATGCTTCTACAAAACTGATGACTCATGAGGTAGCTTCAGTTTATGACACAGTGATTCAGCACTTTGTCTCCGTTTCAGTAAAATATAAATAAAGACCAACTGTGATATGATTTAAGTCTACGTTTCCCACTTGACTCACAGAACACGCTGTTCCTCAGTCGTTTACTCACAATAGGACTTCTGACACAATGGAGCTGACGTCAAAGACGGTGTCCAGATTAAAGCTCAAGAACTCCCTGCCGCCCCTGCCAACACAAAAAAGGCACGGTTACAGAGACCATTAACGAGAACCACTATATGCGCGTCGCCAAGCTTTTATACAGCATTAATCTGTAGCATATAAACATACTTACTGCCCACTATGCCCACTGGCATGAAGGGCAGCAATGAAGGTCGTCCACTCGTGTCTGTGTTGGGTCAACTTCCGGATGGTACCCCAGGTGTGGTTTATGGGTTTCACCTCCACCTCTACCGTTCGTCGCCAGGCGTTCTTCGGTCTGCCTCGCTGGCGCTTTCCTTCTGGCGTCCGATGGAAGGCTGCGCGGGTGACTCTGTGTTCCAGAATTGCGCCGCTCAAGGTGGCTGCATGTTGGAGCAGCTCGCTCACGTTCATTGTGAAGATTTTACGTTTGAAAACTTTAATTACAAATTTTTCTGGATGCAAGTCACTTTTTTCGGATGATTACTTCCTCTGGTATCAGACGCTGTGCGGCTGGAAGGATTTTTACAGAAATCCTTTTTCACATTTGGGCATTTGTTATGATGCGTAACCATAACAACAAGGTGGTTTTCTACAACTGGGAGCTGCTGATTAACATCTCAAAAGCCCAAATAAGACCTCAACTACAGCCCCAAATCCCAAATGAGTTGAAAAGGAGGTGCCGTGGATGCATTACCGTCTACCTGGAAGCTGTGCTCGAGTGCCTGACGAGATGGTCCCCTGGCACCTGCAGTTAAGTCTGCAGCGACGAGGGGCTCGGCAGGCTGCTGCGAGAAATGGCCATTGCTCGGGGAGGAGTTCTGCCGGCATTCAGGCAGTCCTGCTGCCCAAGTGGACAAGAGGCCTGCAGGGTCTGGGTGGACGGATCGGCATCTGCAGCCAGTTTCTTTGGATATGCTATGGGACGGACTGCTACAAGAAATCCTCCCTACCCAAAACCATCAGCATCTATAACAACTCTAATGAAACCAGGATGATGAGCTACAACATCAATTCATTTCCCTTAGGGATTAATAAAGTATTTTTGAATTGAATTGCAACATTACCAGGTTCTTTCCTAAGCACATGCCCAATCCAAATTCTCTGCGTAATGATGGTGTCCATGCTGTCTTGACAAGGAACAAGCAGTTGATCCTTTAAGACGGTGTTGGGCCAGAAGACTCTCAGTATGTTTTACAGGCTCCTTGTGTGAAAAACGGAGAGCTTGTTGAGATCACTGGTCGTTGTCCTCCAGCGCTTTGATCCATATAACGAGGTAGAGAGTACAAAGCTCTGGTACAGCTTCAACTTGGTCTTTCTGCTGTACTCCTGGGACCTCCAAACATTGTTAAACCTTCTGAAGGCATTTCTTGCTTGACTTAGATGATCCATTATGTCAACGACACACTGTCTAGTGGTGGTACAAATTCATATGAAGTTTTGGTCAATTATCTTGAGCGTATCAGAAGTTACATGCTTGACAAGCAACGATCTTGTATAAAAATTGACCTTGGTTTGTGACTTTGACCTTGGAGCTGGGGCGATGAAAAGCGTACATTACACTCTATCTAGTGATGATGCACATGTGAATCAAGTTTCATGAAATTAGTGTGAACAGATCAGAAGTTATGGGTAGGACAAGAGAAAATGAACGGTCCTTACAAGAAGAACAGAATGTTGACGATTGTTCCGCTTTAGATTTCACTTGGTGGTCATATTGGAGGCATTACGTTGAGGTCATGTTGAAATTGACTGCATACAATGGTACATGTATTGATTTCCTAATTTTTCTGATGCATTAAGGAACATTTAACATTGATTTATATTTGTTAGAGGTCCGTGATCTAACCTACCTGAAGAGAAAAGCCGTGTGCCGATGTCTTTCCTCTGAGCAGTATGAGGGAGCCAGCTCCTTCTTACAGCTCACCTAAACAGCAAAAACTGCATTTGCTTTCCACCCACTTGTTGGTTGTGAACAAACGATGCACCAGGTGGAGCACTGAGCAGGCAGAAGGCCCCTAGTACCGTACCTTTCCGACCAGAACTCCGTAATCCTGCAGAGCTCCTGCTGACTTCTCCAACTCCGCCAGGAACAGAGAGATGGTTGGCGAGACTGTAAACAGGGACAAAATCACAGAGAACGTTCTTTTTCTTACGTATTAAGAATCGAGTCTCAATTGAGTTTCTATGAGTCAGAAAGGACAAGAAACTTGAGACCGCTTTGTGAGGGGTTACCAATAAGAACCGGACATTACAGGCACCACATGACCCGGTCATTCTTGACTTTGACTGCGGAAGCAGTGGAGGAAGAGTCTTCCAATGGTTCCGATTTCTCAAATGTGTCAAACGTTCTCAATTTCATCACAACGATGTGATGCGTACGTTTAAGAATTATTAGTAAATAGTACATTTAAATACGTAACTAATATGCAGTCATGTACAGCCAGGGGGAGTATTTCCCATCTGACATTTGGTGGTGATCGGTCTTTGGCTCTTGATTGGGGGAGATATCACGTGTCCTTCACTTGAATTCAGAGCAGGAATAGGTAATCTGGCTGGGAATGTTGTTAAATTCATCGTGAGAGTGTTAAAAAAATCATTTTTAAATTGCAGATTTGCATTTGGTTTTGATTGGGTTGCTCTCTTTGCTGGCGGGAGTTTGGTCCCGTAAGTCTATACGCCGATGATGACGCTCCGTACGTATTAGCTCATGTGTACTCATGACTTTGTCCGGTACACATTTAACACAATTCTCAATTTCAGACACAAAAAGCCCAAGAAAGTTAAGGGAGCGGTGCAAGAGGGTGTTGATGAGTTACGTGTACTCCCGGCAACTTCTTGCTCGAATTTCTCTGGAAGTTCGTTAAGAATTTGTGCGACGTCCGCAAATGTGTCAATTCAATACAAATGAACATTCGGCTCTTTTTCCCCCGCAAATTTGAGTCTCCAAATAGTCGACAACAGTCGGCCCAGAGAGATACAGGTTTAAAGATACATTTAAGAAAACCTTCACACGTATGTTCCGAACCCTGAACACTGGGAAATGTTAGTTCACACGTTTGGCTCAGATTCCAGTGGTCCGGTTACACTTTGGATGTACAGAATTCTTTAAAAGGAATGTTGGAATTTATTATAAACTCCTTTTTACATTCTGAACGACTTTTATATAAATCTGGTGACCTGAAAGTGATTTTTGAAGCCCCGGAACGCGAAATTTGCATCTTTTTTGTTCCTCTATAGTGTTTCCCCTAGATTACTTCCATGGCAGGGCACTCATCTTATCTGTAATTTTTGTCAGAGGGTGGGGGTGGGAGGAGACAGGTCTGAGCTGCACAATGTTTAAACGGACAGTTTTCGAGCGGGGAGGGGGGTGGTAGGGTTCAGTGAGCGGGAAGAGGCTGCGTGAGGGCTACCTCTAGCTTTTTAGCTAGCGAGCCTGTATTGCACGCTGTTAGCTTAGCGCTATGTCAGTACCAGCAGTTGCCGACTGGGGGTGGGGTGCAGTTTGGTTGGCATGGCGCTCGGTTCTGTTGACAGGGTGAGGTGTCCTGCTTGTACAATTAATGGTAGCTTATTGTTTTTTCAACTAATTTGAACAAAATCGGTAGGCCTGTCACAATAACAAATTTTGCCGGGCGATTAATTTTCTCTGAAATTATTGCGATAAACGATAATATTGTTTGAAATTTAACAATAATTAATTGTCAAATTTTAGAAGAAATGTTGATTTGATTTGAGTGTAGTACCTTTTTTGACCATCTGATGGCAGTATAAGATTGTTTGAACCAAAGGATGGATCGTTGAGCAGCATGTTTCTTTAAGAAAAATGGGAGGGAGGGCTCTAGACGTGACATGAGCTGACATGGTGACATGGCGGACGCTCGGTGATTTGAGCTCTTCAGCATTTTTCACACAAAGCTTTTAATAAAAAAAAAAAATCAGTAAACAAGTTCTCAGCTTCTTTTTGCAGAGCAAAACAACTTTTTACATGAAGGCACGGGTTCCAACCGTGAATTTTGGAGCTTCGACAAGACGGAGGTGTTTTCCCGAGGTCGGCCTGTTAGCTTAGCTCGTAGCTTAGCTGCTTTTAGCGATCCAAAAACGCGATTTTGGACGGTTAAAACAATTTTAAAGAGAAAGGGAGGGGTCAGTGAAGAGCACCGGAGTTGAACCTTTTGTCATCCAGTGTCTTCAGTAGAAAGAGAGAGACGCAACGAAACATAAAGCCGGTAAATGAAAATGAGGTTGATGATTTTCATTCATCATGCGATTATTTGATTTATTGTTTATCGCAACAGGCCTAAAAATCGGTATTATTTTCAGCGGTACGGTGGATCAAAACGATAATGAATGGATGGATCAGTATTATGTTCTTTATTGTTTTTAGCTGCATCTAATAAAACGAGTTTTACTGCAACTTGTGAACTCTTTTGGTTGTAACATTCCTACATGAATTACTGAGAGGTTTACGAGTTTTGAGTTGCTTCAAAATGACAGAAATCTGTTAGGACGAGACGTCAGCTTCTTATTCCGGTCAGAATCAAACGCCGTTTCTCAAACTGAGGTCCTTCGAAGAGCTATGTGCAGCAGGTAAGATATTTATTGTTCGTAACCTTTCCCCAAAGATAAATGAACCTATTTTGGGTTAGCTTACCTTGTTGCTCAAAATAGATGAACATCATCTTCCCAGAATGCAGTTTGTCGTAAAACTCTGCGGGTGTGTAGTCAATTTGATCTGACGTGCACACGCCTGACCACATGCACAGCAGGAAGAAAACACAACAAATCCCCATCCTCCTGAGCATGCCACTTTGTGGTGTTCTGCCTGGAAAGAAAAAGTGTTTTAATATAATAAAACACCTTATACAACCATATATTATTAAATACGGCTTTGTTTTAACTAAACAAGTTGATTATATTTGTTTATGGCCAACAAGACGACAAAAACAGAACAGTTACCTCAGCTAGGCTACTTTTAGCTGCCTGCATGCTACGTAGCTAACATTAGCTTTAAATAAATTGTATGCATTTTTAGGCTGTGTGTGTTCGTGATGGATACGACGTTGAAAACACAACTAGTTCGCGTTTTCTCGTCAGTTTACGCGCTAAATTAATAAACAAACGTCTCCAGGAAAAGATGCTCAATCCTCTGCGGAGTGTCCGCTAAGTTGCCGGGGCTAATATAGCATTTCCTTTTCAAAATAAAATCAGTGCTGTTTAAAATAGTTTGCTTATCGTCATTAAAATACATATTGTGAATTTTAGCATACTGATTCACTTTAAAAGAGATGATTTTTACCTTTTTTGTGTTTTTATTACCATCAGCATGTTGCCGCTCAGGACTTAATAATATTTACGCTTTTATTTTGAAAGCTAAAACGATTTCTACTTCTCTAAATTAACGCGCTTGTTTTCACGAAGAAACGCCCATTTCTTTTTGTAAGCCAATCACAAAAGGGAATCGTCCCTCTCTTTAAAAAAAATAGACCAATCACAAGAGAGCAAGGGCGAACCTTTAACGGAGTGACATCACTGTGCACCAATAATCGAAGGAGATTTCTGGAGGCTGGGCGGCAAGATTAACCAATGAGAATGCAAGCTCGCGAGCAGGCGTGGTCTGTTTTTTTTCCTCTCACAGCTCGGAAACTAGCAAGAAACTTGGCTCAGAGCTCCACGGTTTCTCCCTAAAGTGATGTCATAATGAGCCAAGATGGCGACCGGACGAGAGCTAGTTTCTTTAAGAGCGAGTGGGCGGGTCTGAAACCGCATCACAGCTGATTTGGAGGTCCCCCGCCCCCTCAAGTTGTTTTTGCAGAGAGCAGCTTTGCAGACAATCACACAAGAGCCTCTCTTGTCTTTTTTTTCATGTCGTTTTTAACTTGCCGCCTTTTAAACCTAGACTTATTCATTCTGAATGGGCAGTTTGGCAGTTTGCGTTTAATAATGCCACTTGTTTTTAGCCAAAACAAACTGCTTTTAACGCTATTCGCTCGGGTTTCGTTGTGTTTTTGTCTGGCTCACTTTTAGCGTCCTTTTTTCTTCTGTTGTTTCCAGCCGTGAGCCTCCAGTGGAGATGTTTCCTGCAGGAGAGGGTTCGGGTTTGTTGACCAACGGAGATGCCCTCTCTCCAACGCTGGAGCTCAGTTTGACCAGCTTATACACGGTGCTCTACTCCTTCCTCTTTGTGTTCGTGTACCTGCAGCTCTGGCTCATTTTGCTCTACGGACACAAGCGCTTCAGCTTCCAGAGCGTGTTCCTGTTCCTCTGCCTGCTGTGGGCAGCTCTGAGAACGACCCTCTTCTCGTTTTACTTTCAAAATGTGGCGCAGGCCAACCAGCTGCAGCCTCTGGCCTACTGGCTGCTCTACTGCTGCCCAGTCTGCCTGCAGTTCTTCACCCTCTGCCTGCTCAACCTCTACTTCACACAGGTGAGTCAGCTGAGCGTGCACTTTCTGTGGCCTGGCGACCTGTTGTCCTGCGAGGGCAGAATCCATCCCTTTATCTGCTAACTGAGGGGGTCCTGAGACCCACTGTGCACAAAAAGTAAGGACATTTGTTTATTTTGTTGTGACAAGGCTTCTTGGAAATAAATAGTTGGAAAACCTGTTTATTTCCCCTTAAATAGTGGCGCATAGTGGAATGTGGAAGAACCATACGCAGCCCGGTGCTTACCGTAC